TCACCAAAACTCGCACAACCATGAGTACCTTATATAGGTGATGCTTCCAATGGATTCACCTAAGCAAGATGGAAATCTCACAGTTTATAAACCTTAGCCCTGTGCACCTTCTAGGAGAACAAATGACCTCTGGGCCCAGAGGAAGGCCAGAGAGATGTTTAAGGATGGAAGCTATAACCAAATTATTGTAGAACTACTTTAGGAGGGGATGCAGGTGACAACTAAGCGACAGCAGATGGAACTCCCATGCTTACACGGAGAATTTTGAGGCTGACTTGGTATCAAGGTGCCAGGTCACCTATACTTTGAAGCATCCTCTCACTATGTGCCAGATTTAGTCACAACAGCTACTGAACTGAGTGAAGCAAAAACATTAGAGAAATATGGAGGTAAGAAGAGGCATGTCTGCCCATACCCTCTTGCCTCTGACACATTTTCTTCCAAGAGGAAGACAATGTGGTAGAGAAAGTCAAACGACCTCAAATTAAAATGTTGCCGCTGCCACCTCCTAACTGGCAAGCTCAGACAAGTGACTTAAATTCTAAGTCTGCTTTCTCATAGGTAAGACATCAACAATATGTCACATGGTTTATGTAGAGAGAAGACAAAATAATGATGTTGAAATATAATGGTATTTATGACACAATGAATTAGTGGGTAAATAACAGTTTATCTTTCCCATGCTTAGAAGCATGATTTTTGGATCAGTTCAATGGCTCCAAGAGCACATTCCCAAGGGCTGTGAAAACCACCTGAATCTGGAGACTTAATTATCCTAAGGCGACACACTCAGGAGAGTAAACAGGATACTAAGAAATAAGGCAGGACTCTCAAACAAACTTCTTTAACCTCTATTTCTCGAAAAACTATCTGCTAACAAGGCAACAAAGGCTCACCCCATAACACAGGAGAGGGTGAACTGCAGAAGAAAGAGGGTGTCAGCCCAGCCTTCAAACTCCATCGCCTGTAATATATAAGAAAGCATGAGATTTTAGACCAGGCCCTTAAAATCAGCTGTTCCAATCACGAATGGAAATCCTTCTGTTAACAGATCTCTTTCATTCATACACATACACACATACACACACACACACACACACACACACACACACACATACACACACACACAGAGAGGCACATGAGGGGTCTACAAAAAGTTCATGGAAATGTATTATCTAAGAAAAATGCACAGATTTCAAAAATGTTTTGCACAAAAATAAACCCATACTTTTTTTTTTTTTTTTTGAGAGAATTTTGCTACAGAGCATGTGTGCTCACCAGAGAGACAGAGAGAGACAGAAAGAAATCATCCCCCAGGGAGGATGGCCATGCTGCAATCCCTTCTTCTCCATTCTCCTCTCAGGATCTTGGGCAGGCAGGCACATGTGCCCGGCATGAATTTTAAGCAACCAGGTACAGGACTCGAACTGCAGCCAACTACACAGGAGTCCAGTGATGTAACCATCTGCTGGTCCCATAAACCCATACTTTAATTCCATTTTTCCATTAACTTTTTAAAATCCCCTTGTACATTTCCTTGTATCACTCCAAAGAGGAGAGTGATGTTCAGGAATTTCACATACATAGTGTTGAACCAATAAATAGTTTCAGAAGGTTTACTCCATTCCAAAATGGAATGTGGGGGAGATATGATACAAAGAAACTGCTATTTCCCTGAAGGCACAACCCCATTGAGGGGTCTACAAAAAGTTCATGGAAATGTATTATCTAAGAAAAATGCACAGATTTCAAAAATGTTTTGCACAAAAATAAACCCATACTTTTTTTTTTTTTTTTTGAGAGAATTTTGCTACAGAGCATGTGTGCTCACCAGAGAGACAGAGAGAGACAGAAAGAAATCATCCCCCAGGGAGGATGGCCATGCTGCAATCCCTTCTTCTCCATTCTCCTCTCAGGATCTTGGGCAGGCAGGCACATGTGCCCGGCATGAATTTTAAGCAACCAGGTACAGGACTCGAACTGCAGCCAACTACACAGGAGTCCAGTGATGTAACCATCTGCTGGTCCCATAAACCCATACTTTAATTCCATTTTTCCATTAACTTTTTAAAATCCCCTTGTACATTTCCTTGTATCACTCCAAAGAGGAGAGTGATGTTCAGGAATTTCACATACATAGTGTTGAACCAATAAATAGTTTCAGAAGGTTTACTCCATTCCAAAATGGAATGTGGGGGAGATATGATACAAAGAAACTGCTATTTCCCTGAAGGCACAACCCCATCTGGCTAATCTCAGCAATGCTCACAGACGCCTGTTAATGTCCTAGTATGAAAGACTTTCTCAAACACTGAAACATGTTTTCGCCCTGTAACACGTGAAAGCTTAAGTATACAAATTCCACTGAGGTCTGTTTGGGTAGAATTGCTGTTTTAAAACAGTTGGTTCTAAAAGCAAAGTTTTGTTGTTGCTATTTGTTTGCTTATGCCAAATGGCGAGGAATGAAAAGAAATGAAAGGGTACATTGATCATCTTGTCTCTCATCCAAGAGGGACAGTTTCTCTCTCGAGCACATACTTTACTGTGCAACATGAGCTTGATAAGCGCATGTGAGAAACACTTCACCTCTTAGTCTCTCAGCCAACCTGTCCAGCTTAAACTCTTGCCACTTACACATAAATTCCACAACTCCAGGGCTCCTGCAATACCAAGCTCCTGCGGTTTGCAATACACAATGTGGCATTTTACACTTGTATGCCTTTTGCTTAGAATGGTCTCAACCCTCCTATTCACCCAAAAACCCCCTTTGTAGGTCTTCACTATCAAGGACTCCATCTTTTGTGCCTCAGTGTTCACTAGGGCTCTTCTCTGTCTCAGCTGTTAAGTTTTTCTAGGCCAGGTCTACAGATGGTGAGCTCTAGGAGAGGAACACCTACATCCCCTATAACTACTCGTACTCCTAGCACACATTTGGCTGACAGTGGGCATTTGGTTTGTTTATGGTTCTCCCTTTGTTGAGGCATAAGGCATAGAAAAAACATTCACTCATTTTAAGTGTACAATTCAATGACAAATGTCTAGGTATGTGACCACTATTACAATCATGACACAGAAATTGCTACACAACCCATCTCTCTGCAAATCCCCTTCCCTGGATTTACTTTGTTACTACGATTGTGCTGTCAACAATCTCATCATTAGCAGAATCGGATGGTATATGGAAGCTCTTGTATCTTGCTTCTTTCAATTGACATAATGCTTTTGAGAAAAAAAAAGTAGGTCTTTAATAACGGTATTCTGGATAAATGGTAGATGAACAAGTTCAGTCTCAGGCTATGCTTTTTCCTACCTATAAACATAACCAACTCTCTGATGAAAAGTCATTAAGGCACAATAAAATAGCCTAAGACTCAGGAAAATGACCTCTGCCCAAGTTCCTGGACCCTCAGTTCCTGGAGAATAGGGATTGCATTAGATCTCATTTCTGCACAGCTCCAAGCACAGAGAAATACTAGGCACAAGTACTCATTGGGGTATTTGTGATCCATGATCTGTGGCCAAGCATCATTTTCCACAGGCAGATGAGTTGAATCCTGCTTTTTAATATATCCACACATCTGCTACATGTTACTAGATGTACTTTGAGTTTTATATTAAATCTATATCATTTTACTTTTCTGTTTAATTTGCCAGACGATACATACACTTGGCAGAGACAGAAACACAGACAGTAGGGAGAGGGAGAAATGAAAGCACCTCCCGTGGGGCATGGTCATGCTGCAATTCCTATTGTCTCTCCCTTCCACTGGGATTTTGGGCACACATGCAGGCACCTGGTTCACCCTCCACCCACCCAGTCTGGGACTCACACTGTGTAGTCAGCTATGCTAAGATAAATATAATCCAAGCAGCCCCTACAGTACAAAGGAGCCCCTTCTCCCTGCCATAAAAATAGAATGAAAAGGGCCAGCAGGTGCTGTAGTGGTTAAGGTGCTGGACTCCCACATGGCTGAACATGGTTCGAGTCCCAGATCCGGCAGCCTGAAACTCACACTGGGCACTTGTGTGTGTGTGCATGCGCGTGTGTGTGTGTGTGTACCAAAGATCCCGAGAGGAGACTGGAGAAGGGACTGCAGTACAGCCATCCTACCAAGGGAGTAATTTCTCACTTTCTATCTCTGTCTCTCTGTGTGTGTCCAGCAAGAACACGTACCCTATAGCAAAAATGTCTCTTTAAAAAAAGCATAAGAAAGAATAGCTACTGCTTAATAAGTGCTTATTCTGTGCTAAGCTCAGATACATAGCTCATCCGAAAGTATCCATCTAGTAAGTGCCTGTCAGCTCCATAACCTATAGTCTTTCCACACAAAACATGTGCCTCCAGAGAAAGCCTGATAAAGAGCCATCATGATGAGAACGGCCTTCCTGGTCACTCTATTTGACACAGAATTAAAGGGGCTCTCTGCCGCAGGCCTGCAATCTTAGTCTTGGCTGAGTGGTGGCTGTGATGACAGACCGAACACACAGAGATGTTTTCTTAGGCCTTCCTTCTGTTTTAAATCAAGTGTACTTCCAGGACCAGCAGTTAGCGTAATGGCTATGTCACTGGACTCCCACGTAGTCGACCGCAGTTCACATCCCAGACCCGGTGGCTTGAAACTCACACCGGGCATGTGTGCATGCATGCCCAAGATCCCGAGAGAATGGAGGAGAAGGAATTGCGGCGTGGTCATCCCCTTTGAGGGGTTTCTGTCTCTCTTTCTGTCTGGCGAGCGCATGCGCCCTATAGCAAAAACCTCTCCCCCAAAAAAATTTGTTCTTCAGTTGCGTAGGCTAATGAAATTAAGAGAAAAAAGGAGTAAAATTTGACACAAAAACTAAATAATCCAAGAATGCAATCAGATTTTATTTTTTGTACCAGCCCTAATGAATTGATTCTGGCTGTCTATACAGCCACTGTCTTGGTAGACACAGTTTGAGGCCACGTCAAGGCTTAGCAAGAAAGCGTTGGGACTACTTGGTAATGTCTGCATGGAATAACACCAGCACCACTTCACCGCCCCAATGTAGTAAGAAGCATGGGATAATTTCAAGGTGTATGTGAGTCTTGGATGCAACCATTCCAACTTTCAGGAAAATCTGCTAAGCAAAGAGTCATCAACTTACCTGAAATATGAACTAAAATCCAAAGTGTGGCTAGGACAATTTCTCAGGGGTTTTTAGTTTGTTTATTTTATTCATAATAGACAGCATGCGCACATGAGAGAGAGAAGTACCCTCAACAGGGTTTGGTCATGCCATGATCGCCTTCCCCCAGTCCTCCACTCGTCAGATCTTGAGCATGTGTGCATGTGCCCCTGGCATGTCTCAGGCTGACTGAGCTAGGGCTCCGAACACACAGTCGGCCATGGAGCTTCCAGCACTTGGAGCCTAGCATGCTACCAGCTGCACCAAAGACTAGGCCACATTATCTTAAGTGTTTTGACACCTCCCTACCAATTATGAAGTCTGAAAACGAACAACTCACTTGGTTTCTGGGCTCTTGACAAAGAACAAAGATTGGTAAATATTCTAGTTTGAAAATTCTTTTCCAAAGAAACTATTAAGGGATGGGACCAGCAGTTACTGTAATGGCTATGTTGCTGGACTCTCATGTAGTCAACTGCAGTTCGAGTCCTGGACCCGGCAGCTTAAACTCACACCGGGTGTGTGTGTGTGTGCACACCCAAGATCCATGAGAGGAGAATGGAGGAGAAGGGACTGTGGGGTGATTTCTCCCTGGGGGGTAATTTCTCGCTTTCTGTCTCTCTGTCTCTTTCTCGCGAGTGCATGCGCCCTATAGCAAAAACCTCTCCAAAAGAAAAAAAAAAGAAACTATTAAGGGAAAAATGAAATCTTTTTTTTTTTTTTTTTTTTTTTTTTGGGAGTTTTTTTTTATTTGCGGACG